TTTTTTTTTTTTTTTTTACAACTACTTAGTTGCTTTCCTGAGAAACTATTGCTCATGATTCCTGACATGAAAGTTCTGTTTTGAGCTATCGTAATGTGTTCTTGAAGCAGATTAACTTCCTCTGCCAGTTACTGGATTCTCCTGCGTCCTGTTGTATGGTCAGGCGGTGAAGGAAATCCCCCAGCTTATTTCCAGAACATAGAAATAGCATTCTTCAGAAAAGAGAAATGAAGGAAGGAAGGGAAGGAAGGGAAGGAAGAAAGAAACAAAGAAAGCAAGAAGGAAAAGAAAAGAAAAGAAAAAAGAAAAGAAAAGAAAAGAAAAGAAAAGAAAAGAAAAGAAAAGAAAAAGGAAAAAGAGAGAGAGAAAAAGTCCTTTGGACCCTGCTAAGTCTGAAATGTTAATTTTCAGATGATCCTGAAGCGCGCGTTGCTTACCTACAGAATTGTAAATGTCTCCCAAGTAAGGGCCAGTGTACAGAGCTGAGATGAAGTTCAAGAATGCGGCAAACTCTGTGAAGTCATCAACCCTTGCCGAGAGAATTCTTGAGGCTGACAACCAAGCCGTTGTTGCCACAAACAGGGGATGTGCGTTCACGTAGCTCCTGTGTCTGTGGGGCCGGGCTGCTGTGGGCTGTGCATGGCACGCGGTCCAGGCGTCCCTCCCTGGGGGGTGCTCCCTAACAGGGCCCTGGCCCTGCTCCCCGGCGTGCTCCCCACTTCCACACTCTCCGTGGCCACTGACTGCTCTCTGTCGGTCGTTTCTCCATCACCCGGGATGGGTACCCGTGAAGACGACATTTGGAAATACACCTTTTGGGCAACTTGTCTGGCTGCTTCCTGCCCGTAGAGAGCTGGGCTCGGAGGCCTTGCCATTTGCTGTGTGGTCCACCCTGCGTGACGCCCCGTCGGCTTGCCGTGTATCCGCTTGGTTCTTTCTGAGACACGCCGCTCTCTCTACAGTTACCCAGTGGGGTTCGGGCAATTCAGGGTACCACGGGCAATACCCCTGAGGTTCCCAGATGACCTTCTGTCCCCGAGAGCATCAGTTAGCACGACCACCCTTCTGGGTTCTTCGAGGAGTTTCTGGATGCCATCCCCCTGACTTGGTCTCCATTCTGGGGCCGTGTCTTGACTTTCTGCCTCCCGATCTCCACAACCCAAGTCAAGGAGTGTGCTGGGCAATTTTGACCTTGGAAGTTACCGCAGGTGACGATTTTACAGAGGTGTTGTTACCGTGTAGTTTGGCCCCCATGTTTTCAGTTTCGTACACCAGGTTTCTTTAAAGTTTTTCTCCTGTAATTTCCAGATTTCTCTCTTTGTCACCCACTTGCTGATGTATACATAAAAGAATTTGTTACACAGTCTTAGATCTGCGTAGGCTCTCCCTTGACGACCACAGGACGTCCTGGGTTCTGTAGTTAGTAGGGCCCAGGCGAGCTGGCGTTTAAAAAAAAAAAACAACTGGCAAAAATTTCTCTACGAACTTCAACTATGTGAAGAAGGAGGTGAGCCGTGCCGGGTGGTGTGGAAGAGATACGGGTCTGTTTTCTGAATTGCTTCTTGAAGTGGGATACCCGAGAAAGGCTTGTCTTGTAGGCACGTTTTGGTTTTTGTTTTTTTACACCACACGAGCAATAGTTCATCACTTAGCCGTTCCCGGGAGCACAGTAGCTGCTCCCAGGGCCCTGGTGGGAAGACCGAGGAGAAGAAAGCCTGTTCGAAGCCCCTAGGGTGTGACCCTAACTCTGCAGACTGTGGCGGACTTGGATGCGTTCCTCCGAGCGCTGACTTTCTGGGGACGGTTCTACAGTCTGCAGGCAACGTCGTCTGTCACGAAAGACAGCGCTGTCTGGAGAAATGAGCTGTCCCGTCGATGGAATTAAGACCAGAAGCTGCCAGGTGGTTCATTAGATTTCTCGAAGACACTCCCCAGCTTTCCAAACTGAGTACATTTTTTAAAAACCTGTCTATTAAAATACTGATATCTTGGACTATAGATACTGATGGTTCCATTGGTGTTGGTTCTGCTACATCCCGTCCCAGCTTTCATAACATTGTCTGTCTCCTGTTCTTGCCTCCTTCCTTCTCTCTCCTGTCTGACAGGCGCACTCTTTTATTCTCCATGCTCAGCAAATGCTCAGTGCAATTTATTTTGAGAAATAAGGTCCCACATTCAGTTATTAACTTGAAAGTAATCATTTCTTTCTTTTTTTTTTTCTTCCCCCTGATCATTTTCTCCGCTTTTAATTTGCAGGTCAAATTTTATTAGCTTACCAACCGAGAAAGAAGAAAAAAAATGATGGGTTCAGGTTCCTTTTTTGCTGTGAGAATATAATTATAGAGCAACATTCACATTTGTTCTGGGGAAAATTCGTCTATTTTTAGCTGGAAATTATATGCTTGAGATAAATATAAAATTAGCAGACTGAAATTTACTGCTCACTGCCAGCCGTGCGGGGACATTGCCCTGAGTCCCACGTTCAGGTGCTTTGAAGCTAATGGACACATGTCCCTGGTGTCTGGGAGTAGCTGACAAAGACTTAGGGGCTAATTTCACGAGAGCCATTACTCTATCTTTTTGTTTTAGGTGTGGTACAGTCAGAAGGGTTTTCATTCCCTCCCGTCCTACTTAAATCATCTGAACAACCTTATATTGTGGACACACCTACCCCCTGCTGCGGACTGGAGACAATACGGTAACGTTCTTTTCTGTGCATTATATAATTCACTGCTGTCGTAAGACAGTGCTTTGAAAGGTGAAAGAAGCAGAAAAGATCAAGCCCACCAATGTGAAGCATGATGAGAGCGCTTCAACTTGGCAGCCTCTTTGTGTATAAATACAGGCAAAGTGGCAGACCCTATCTGCCTCTGACTGGTGTCATTCACCCCCTTTACTGTCTTGCAGATATGATCTCTATACTGTGAGGGGTAGAAAGATGGCTGAGGGTTCTCTCCTAGTGACGTCAGTATCTTACGGAAGCAAGAATAATTTCTTTTTGTAGAAAGTACAGATCACCCTTATTGTTGGAAAGGTGAACATCGTAATCTGGTCTTAACTCATCAATGATCTGAGCTGATCATGGACTTACTACCTACGTGTTCACATTTTGACACGCTGGCATTATTTAGTATTTATTTGAAAATGACTTATTTTGAAAAACGGACGCATGTTCACTTCTGGAATCCAGGGTGAATTTATTGATTTAAGAGGGTGTTATTTGCTTCCCTTGGGTGGGATGAATTGTAATCATCAAATTCTTTCAGTTTCTTAAAAAAGAGAAAGAAATGAATTCTCTAAAGACCAACAAGCCATACCCATCGTGATTTATTCACAAGATACACCTGTTGAAGCATAAGTTCCCACGGAAGTCAGTGCGACGCGATTACCCCCATGTGTTCTCCCTTTACCCCAGCCTTATCTTTTACTTCCATATTGGTTTTCCCTTGCCCACCAATGTTTTCATAAAACAGGATTTAGTCATTTTGTGACAGCGTAATTATGTTGGAACGAGAACAGGTAATATAAAAAGTAAAAATGGGCATGCCTAGGAAAAGTGGAAAAAACCGTGTGAGCCCCTCGAATGGCAGACAGCAGACCTTTAAATTCTCTCCTTTCCCCAGAACTAACACCTGAACCCTTTCTCCCCATCTGTCTGGATGCTAGAATTTCTTTTCTTTTCTCCACAGTCACACTAGTCTTACACAGATTCCTTCCCAACTGCTAGCAACAGACTTCCAGGAGGTCTCTTGATTGTAGCCAACTCCCTGCCCTCCCACACATGGCTTCCAGATTGTTCTTTTTTTTTAATGTTTATTTATTTTGAGGGGAGGAGGGGCGGAGAGAGAGGGAGAGAGAGAATCCCAAGCAGACTTTGTGTGTTACCACAGAGCCCAACATGGGGGTCGATCTCACGAACCCTGAGATCATGACTTGAGCCAAAAGGGTCAGAGCTTGACCGACTGAGCCAGCCAGGCACCGCCAGATTGTTCTTTCTAGTGCATTACTCTGCTCATGGCATTCTCATTCTCAAATATACATAAAGGCTGTCTACTAAGTAAAGTGCATAGCCCTCACTCCGTCAGACAAGGTCAAGCAGAATTTGGCCCCAGACAACCTCAATGGTCTCTCATGAGGAGGTCAGACTGGACTCCCCCACGGAACTTGAAAGGCTGCTCTGATTCTCTTGCGTTTCCAACACCTACAGTAGCTCTCGGCCATACTTTCGCCCAAGGTTCAAAGTTCCTTGTTGGGGAAGGTCCCCCCGGAAAGCACTTCTAGCCATGCCCCTCGGAAGTGACCTCTCGCTTACCTGGGGGAGGACAGCAGAGCCTCTGTTGTCAGCAGGACCTAGAGCCACATCCTGGCCCCGTGACTTAACCTACCCAGAGTCACCGCCACTGGGTGATTTCCCCGAACCTCGGTTTTCCCATCAGTGAAGTAGGCTAATGCGGCCCACCTTACAACACCGATAGGACGTGAAATGACACCATGGGCGTTAAATTTCTGCAGGGGACCCTTGCACACCTCACACACCTAAGAAACACCGCTCTGCTGTGCCCCAGGCGACTGACCAAATGTCCCTTCCTGAATGACTGGATTGTGTCACTACCAAAATGTACTTTGACTCCTAAGAGCTTGAGTTACACATACAAGCCTTACCTTGGGTTCCAGTTGTGAGCCACAGTCTTGGTCGAGCCCCTGTGTCGTGGGTCACGGCCCGGGGTCACGGGAGCAATGCTGACCGATGCCGGTGTCGGTCACTCGTGTCTTATGTCACTGCTTCCTGGTGACCAGATGCCCCCGATGATGTCCATCCCTCTTGAAAGGAGGGGGCTCTGTGGAGAAGTCGTGCTGCCTTGCAAAATGCATTTATCCTCTGTTACTGGAAACGTGAATACTTTGTTTATGTCAGAATTTCAGTTCTCATTTGCCTTGTTTCTGCGGTTGTCACGGGGAAGGAAGGTTTGTGCGGTAAGTAGGGAGCGCACAAGTCACAGCACCCCAGTGGGGTGATGCGGCAAAGAGCTCGTAGGCAAGGCTCTGAGCAGAAATGCTCTCACGCCCCGATGTTCTAGAAACTATCTGATACAGCCATACATAGTTGTGTTCAGGTTGAAGAACTGGTTGTTCATGTGGAGCTTGGACGAGCCCCTGAGAGCAGAGCCTGTGTCCCGCCAGCCCCCCAACACTGGGCCCCAGAGCCTCTGCCCCAGTGGCCCCCGCAGAGCCTGTGCCCCAGTGGCCCCCCCAGAACCGGACCCCACCCCAGGCACCGCCAGCTGAATGTGTGATCACCGTACCGCACAGACGTGCAGCCTGCTCTCATCGCTGCGGTCCCGTGACAGGGTCTTGGGGACACGGACATCCCTGCCTTAGAGATGAAGGGACTTTCTGGCCGCTGACCCAGACCACCCGATAGGAGTCTCCAGAGCCCAGGTCGGCCACCTTGCTGGGTCCCGGGGGGTTGGCGGCTTGTCAGAGCCCGTAATTATAAGCATAAAACTCAACATAGGGCAGACTACGGGTGGCCCGTTCAACGGGCAGGATTTTGTCAACTACCGGCAGGCGTGCGCTGACTTACGAGGAATACATGTGTCTCATACACACCCACCCACCGTGAGTTCTCCCAGGCAGAGCTCTCCTCCTGCCTGGCTGTGAGTGCCGCCCAGGTGTTGTGCTCCGTGACTGCAGCGTGGCCGGACCCGCCTGGGGATCGGGACAGGGACTTTACCAGTGCTCCCTGCAGCCTGGGACACAGGCGTGGGCGTGGGAGCTCGCCCAGGGATGAGAGGGACGTGGAGTGGATTCCACGTCAGAGGCTTTGTTCCTTCCTGGGCTCTGCATCGGAAGCCTAGCCATGCTGCATGTCACATAACACTTCTCAGGGTTCCCAGGGAAATTCAGTCAGGTGAGGTCAAACCCCAGATCTGAACTTTGCTTTTCCACGCACGCCCCATGGGCATTTGGCAAGTCTTGTCCCTTCTGCACTTGACATCCTGAGTGTGCCTATTCTCACCAATGCTCACCCGGCCCGGGCACCACCTGCTCTTGCCTGGTGCCGGCCCCAGCCCCTTGTGGGGCCCCTGTGCTCCCCTTGACCCTGGCCCCAAGGCTTAGGTCTCTGGAAGTGCCCTCGGTGGACCTGTCCCTGTGATCATGGCATCCCTCTGGCTTCCTGTATCTCTTACGATAAAAACCAGACTCTCACTGTGACCCACAGGGTCCCCCCAGCTCAGCCCCTCATCTCGCCCCTCCCCGGGCAGCCACACGGGCCCTTGGCTGTCGTCCGCACAGGTTCCCGTGTTCCCTTCCCCAGGATCTTCTCTCCATCTGCACGGCTCGTTCCCCCGTTGTACGTGTGTCCCCTGTGCTGTCCAGTTGTCCGTCATCCCCCCTGGGGGGAACTCACAGAAAACCAAAACCAAAACACCAAGCCAACCCTGTCTGTCCCTCGCAGGCCACCTCACATGACCCTTCAGTCCTGCACCATGTGTCTGAGTTCTTCCTGTTCTAGCTGATCTCTTCTTTCTTATTCCCAGGTTTTTATTTAAATTCCAGTCAGGTAACGTACAGTGTAGTCTTGGCTTCAGGACATACGACACCCAGCGCTCATCCCAACAAGCACCCTCCCTAATGCCCATCATCCATTTAGCCCATCTCCCGGCCGCCTCCCCCCCATCAACCCTCAGTGTGTTCTCGTATGTAAGAGTCTCCTGTGGTTTGCCTCCCTCTCTGTTTTTAACTTATTTTTCCTTCCCTTCCCCTACGTTCATCTGCTGTTCCTTAAGTTCCACATACGAGTGGTTTTTTGGTATTTGTCTTCCTCTGACTTATTTTGCTCAGCATAATACCCTCCAGTTCCATCCACGTTTTTGCAAATGGCAAGATTTCATTCTTTTTCATCTCTGAGTAATACTCCTTTGTATGTATATATCTATATCTATATCTATACCTGTATCTGTATCTATGACATCTACGTCTACATCTATCTATGTCTACATCTAGACTGGTGTCCTTATCAGTTCATCAGTCGACGGACACCTGGGCTCTTACCCTAGTTTGGCTGTTGTGGATCGTGTGGGCTAGATCCACGGTGGTCCCACTGTGTGCACATTGGTGTCACCTGAGAATTTTGAGCAATACAGATTTCCGTTGCAGACCCAAGAGAGATTCTGATCTGAATGTCAGGAGATTTTATTTTTTTTATTTATTTTTTTTTTCAACGTTTGTATTTATTTTGGGGACAGAGAGAGACAGAGCATGAACGGGGGAGGGGCAGAGAGAGAGGGAGACACAGAATCGGAAACAGGCTCCAGGCTCTGAGCCATCAGCCCAGAGCCCGACGCGGGGCTCGAACTCACGGACCGCGAGATCGTGACCTGGCTGAAGTCGGACGCTTAACCGACTGCGCCACCCAGGCGCCCCAAGAGATTTTAAATGACCCAGGTGATGCCCATGGACAGCCAAGTTTGGGAAACACCGGGCCACCCTGGGGACCTTCGGGCCTCGAGGATAATTTCATCCCTGAGGCAGGGGGATAAAGAGTATGTGGGGATCAGGTAAAGAGTCTCACCCTCACTGCCCCTTTGTGCTCACGTGCTGGGACCACCTGCCACCTTGAGACACCTGCTGGGGGCAGGGCGGGACAGCTGTGCGTCCAGAGCCAGAAAAACCTCTTCTTCTCCTTCCCACCCA